GTCTGGGGTCCCTGAACGCCTCATGGTCTCAACTTCACTCATGGAGGTGAAGCTAATAATTTTTGCTATTGGGGCAAAGGCTTTATGATTTTAAATGACTTTTTAAAAGTCATCTTCATTAACATCACAGATTACTGACCCCGCCCATGATGCTGACCCCGCCCCTCTGACCTGCAGTGACTTAATGAAGGTCCACAGTAATGTACGAATCCCCTCCCCTTTATTCAGCAGTTTGACTAGTCGCATGACTCGAAACAGGCGGAAGAAGGTGATGGACACTCTGGAGCTGTCCTCGCCGCTCTGAAAACACAACAAACAACAAAACGTCTGTCAGAGAGTTCATCATGCAGCACACTCATCGAGTTTTATTTTAGCAAACGTGCCTTCAGTGGAATCATGTCAGCTTTCATTTTAAAAGATGCTAGTACAAACAAAGTCACAACATCCAGTAGCTAAAACTGATGCACATTATCCACCTGTGACACGTTCAGACTGAAGCTATTGTGTCCTCTGAGGGTCATTAGTCCTCAGATATTTTTGAAACCAAATATTTGAAAGAAACCCTTCAGGAGGTGTTTATTAACCTGAGTATCGGGGTTCCCGTCCAGCCTGACACCAGTCTGCTGTGCTCTCTTTGAGAAAAGGAACAAAAATCACTGAGGCTGGACTTTTAAAATCAGAACAACAAGAAGTTTGATGGAACTAACTTCAAGTTTCTTCTCTGAAGCCCAGCAGGAACTCGAGACGTCATCTGAAATAATCTGAGCTTGTTTTAAAGATGTCCCGATGCTCAATAATCCAGGTAGATAATCTAACCAGCTGGAGTCAGGTCCTCTAGACGATTCTTTTTGTTGAAACTTTCATCTTTTATCCAAAGTACTTCGTCAGTTTGAGGAGCTGCAACAAGCTCAGTCTTATAAACAGCACCTTCTCATAGTGGATCAACCAAAAAAAATCTGTGTGCCTTTTTATAACTGTCTGTTGTTGCTGTTGTCGTCGTTCTTTGTTAAGATCAGGTCTCTCTGTGAATGAGCCCTCGAGCCTCATATCAGAGACTAAACTGGAGAAATAAAGGTTGAATGGACCAAGAAGACTGAGTTTGGTGCAGCTCCTCAGACTGACGAAGCCATTTGGATAAAAGACGAAACATTTCAACAAAGAAGAATTTGTCCAGAGGACCTGACTTTACTGTGTTAGATTTGTTTTGAAGAGAATCTATGAGCTTTATTTTGAAACTCCAGGTTCAGTCTGTCATGTTCTTGATTTTAGAACAGAACAAACATGGAACTCTGTGCTGGCGAACATGTCCGTTTTAATAGAAAGCACGTCACATAACCTCCAGTGAGTAACGTTCAAGATCTCTAGTATTTAACACTTATTTTTCGTGAACACCACATCTCCTCTTTTAACAAATAGGGAACCTTTTTCCCTCTCTCTCTTTCTACAGGCTAGGAGCACATAACATAAAGTAACTGTAAATCAAACATAACCCGTTTCTTCCATCTGTTATCGGTCCTTTTAACCTTTTTTTTACTCTAACTTTTTTCCCTGATCTTAAAGGTCCAGTTTACTAGGCTTCATCACCAGTCTTTGACTTAGATCATCTAGTTGATCATCTTACAACTTCAATGCAAACTTCACTTGATAAAACTGCTCCAGTGAAAAAGAAAGTAATCAATCAGAGGAAACTGGCTCCTTGGTTCAATTCTGAGTTACGTACTTTAAAGCAGCATCTAGAAACCAGGAGAGAAAATGGTGCTCTACTAATGTTGAAGAATTTTATTTAACTTGTAAAGATAGTCTGCTAACATATAAAAAAGCTCTCCGTAAAGCTA